ACACACACACACACACACACACACACACACACACACACACACACACACACACACACACACACACACACATCCTTTGACTTGCATCCAGCTGAGTTCAAGACCAAAGATGACCAAAAACCTCACTTTTATAGTAACTATTTTCACTCTGCAGCAGAAACAATACACACACACAAACACTTGTCTCTCTATATTTGTGTGAATTGTTTTCCCTTTATTCCTACAGCCTAACCTAACCTGTTACTCTAAATCTAACTTCAGAGATACATACCTGACTCTAAACCTAGCCTAAACTCAATTCATACCTTAATCCTATCCCCTGACCCACACATGGGCTTGTTTTTGTGCTGTTCTGCTCTTGACTGTTTGCAGCTCATTCACAGTGCAGTGGGTGGAGACTGGGATGGACTCACCTGTGCACAGTCTGCACTAAGGAGAACTGGTAGTACTTAAAGCTGCTGTATGTAGTTTCTTGAAAACCCAAAAACTTAGAAAATTTTTGAACAGATCCAACCTTGTAGTCCCTCCCCCTGCTCTCAGCTCCCCTTCCTAAGCTCCTCACCCACAGCAGGGCCCAGAGGGAGCGCGCATGCTTGTAAACAGGAGGACGGGTGTGGTGCATAGACCCTAACACAGAGCTCAGAGCTATGCTGCCATCACAGGTAAGAACAAACCATCAACAATATGTTTTTAACTATCATGTCTTGCCCATACTTTATCWACACAAGTGCTCCTTTTGTCATAACGTTTAATGTAAAAATTATGTTGCACTCTTTCTATAAGTTATAAATATATATCAAGCTAACACAACACCGAAGCTTCATAGTGGGTCACGAGGACCGGAATTCAGAACACTTTTAGGATTTCAGCAACATGACAAGCCTGTGTATTAGTATTTTTCAGCTCTTGCTGCACAGTGTGATATTTTATCTTTATGCTGCATCTAGTTTTTGACAATCATCATCTACCAGCTGATGGAGAGAAGCTGTGGTGGAGCGTCATGCAGGTCACTGGGAGACGCAGCAGCGTGGGTTCAGCTCCTGAGAACCTCAGCAGGACATCTGCATCTCAAGCCTACCTTCCACTCATCAAACC